TTTTAAGACATGAAAATGGTCAGCTACTCAAACTGACATTATCTTACCATGGCCCTTGTCTTGAGAGGCTTTTACTGCAGTTGTAAAATGTCCTCAATGATTAAAGTCAATTATTTTTACCAGATGCATCTGTTGAATAAGTAATTCCTGATGGGGCATATAAGTAAATTTATTACAATGCATATCATGATTGATTTTTGTTATTCGTAACAAAAAATACAAATAGCTATTTTTTAGTTTAATAGTAATTAATTTGCAAGAGATTGATTCTGAGTATATTTTAATCTTGGTTTTGCTGCTTTTTTAAAGAGAAATTAATATAAAATAGGAAACTTTACACTGAAGTGAAACGTGAGAAAATCTGTGAAAAGCCACAGCCTTAGTAGTAATTTACAGATATGTTCTTAGTGCAGCTGGTGATGTCCTCTAGGTTGCTTGTTGGCGTCTGTTGTTTTGTCACGTGAGCAGTATTCGTGAGGGCAACAATGTGAACAATGTGTGTACCTGTGAACACAGGAAATCTACCTGAGGATTTGGGCATCGCCACCCTTTTCCAATGCTTTGTGTCAGTTGTTTGAACTTTCTCTCAGCTAGCCCTAGCTTTAGAAAAATTGGCAGTAAATTCACAAAGTACTGCCCTAGAGAGCTGAGAACGTAGGAGCTTTCATTTTCTCTCTCCTGTGTGCAGTCAGCTTTTACTTGATGCATGTTGTTAGCAAAATGAGTTTATGGTATTCTTGCCAAAAATTTTTCTGTTTGGTTTCATGCAGATGACGCATTTCTGTAGCACAGGGCTACTGTCTTTGTGTAGAATTTCCAGAGTGAAACGTTATATGGTGTATGGCAGTGAAATGTGCTACTGCGTTGGGATTGACTCTGCTTAGTGGAGCAGCTACTGTGCATGTGTGATACAGGTATGTCCAGATAGGTGGCAGGCTGATCAGAGTTGCTCAGTGGTGCTTAAGCCAGGCTACAAGATGCTTGGAGATCTAGACAAACGCAGAAAATCCTCAGAATCCTTGGGCAAAGTTTTATACAGAGGATGTTGCCAGGAGAATTAATATATGATGATTTACATAAATATATTAAAAAGTTATTGTACGACTGTGTGAACAACGATAAAACACTTTCGGAAACAAGGTTTCACTGTTCTTTGCCCTTTCATTTGTGCTTCTACTTCCCCCGTACACAGATTACGATAACACCAGTGCCATGATATCTGTAGTACAAACCTCAGACCACTTTATAATTGTATGCGCACTTTTGTCACTGGTCACCAGACATGTGCAGTACGAAACAGATGAGTTTAGTCTACCCTAGGAATAGTCATTTGACTCTTTCTCCCCTCCTGGCTGTTAAATTCTTTATCTGCATGAAGGGTATCAGAACAGAACTTAAGATCTTAAGATGATCCTGGATTTTCATTGAAGTTAATTGATGGCCTCAAAACTTTTTGTAGCGGATAGACCAACTAATAGATGACAGTTAGAAGTACACTTTTAATCTTTCACTTTTAATCACTTTTAATCTTTTAAATCTTTTTTTATTGAGGGTAATGACAGATTAGGTGAATGATTCGTCATTGAAAAAAAAACCTAGGACGTGCTGTGATGCAGAGACAACTGATGGTAAAAAATCACAGCTACAGAGTCACTGAAATCCATCTGCCTTGCACCTCCAGCAGCTTCAGATTGGGTAAATACAGCTGTGCACTAAAATGTCCCTGTCTCTGTCTTAACATGCCACAACTAAGTTAAGTTTCCTAAAACCTCTATTGCTTCCTGGAGGTAGGATGCAAAAGGACATTAATGCTGTTAAGCCCAACTTGACCTGGTTGATTCCGTCCAGAGTCACTTATGTGTCTGTACACCAAGTTTCTTTCTCTTGGTCATGACCTGCAGCTCTCCCAGAGCATACTAGACCTAAGTTGAATTATACCATGCTTCAGATAAGTTCATTCCTGGCCTGTGCGTTAGTTGTAGCATTTGGAAATGGCTGTCTATTCAGTATTCGTACTTTTACAAGTATACTCAAGAGTATTAGAAACACTGGAATGTAAGTAGTTGACACACAAATTTTTTGCAGGTAGGTGGTATAAAATATTCAGTTTAGTAAGTAGCCCATGCGACAATCATAATTATGTTTGAAATTAGTTACAAAAATTCATCTTTATCAGTTCATACCAAGGAAAGCTCATTGATTTTTTTTTTTTTTCGGTGTTGATCCTTGAAAAAAGAAACACACGGTAAAAGTTTATAATGAGTATGGCCGGGTTGGTTACAATCCATCAGATTGTACTCCCTGTGTAAAACTTTCTGAGGAGAAGGCTCTGCTTGAAAATACTCATTAAGTGTTTCCTGTGGGGGGAAGGTACTCAGATAAAAGTTATTTTTAAAATAAAGGTCTTTGTGTGCTGTACGATAGCAGGAGTCGTAAAGCTGTGATTAGAGGTATCGAGTAGTTTTATGTCCAAATTATTCCTCAGGGCCATTCAGTGAGTATGCAGAGAGTTGAAGAGAAGAATGATTTTAAATATTGGCAGCAGTTGTTTCTGGTAATAATTTTCTTTTGCAGCGGTTGATCTTCTAATTAGCTTGTGTGTATACACTGTAGAGTTAAACTGGAACAGAGGAATACCTCCTCTAACCCCATGTGAACTGGAACAGCATTTAGACAAACCACATAAAAATTACTAAAAGAAAGATAAACAGAAGCATAGCAAACAGCTGTATATGTCTTTTTTCAGTAATGTGTTTCAGTTGAAGAATATTTTACAAGTAAATATACTCTTTAATCACCTTTGGCATTGTTGCGTGTTGAGATTCCCTAGGGCACATGGATAAGAATGTATTGGGTGTATCTAAGTGAATTGTCTGACTTCTAGGGATGCAATTGCATTTTTTTTGTGCTCTGACCTTAAGTTTCATCTCCTACTAGTAGCGATAGGATACTTTTATCCTGATGTTTTCTGATACTGCTATCTTTAAATACAAAGGAAACAAGTAAGTCCTCATCTTGTTCTTTTTCTTGAATTAACATTTCAAGTAAGGTAGTATTTTTCCCTTGTTAGTTAAAGGCTAAATGCAGTGTTCATGGTAGCTGTTCATTCTGTTCTCGTTGCTTGTTGGACAGAAGAAAAAACATACCGTAGAATAGCTACAAAAGCAGTGGTAGTCCCAGAGGACGTTTTGGATATTAGCAAGATGGAACAAAAGTGGTTTGCAGATTTGGGGAGCAATCATTATTCATGGAATACGGTATTTTCAGAAACAAACTATTGTACTTACAGACTGATGATAACATAGATCACAAAATTAAACAGCTGTAGCTAATTATTCCATGTGCTTGTTGCAACTGGCATGAGAATAAAATCTTAGATGTTAAATTCCCTGTACTTTCCCACCTGCTGTTTTATAACCTTGCTAAAATCATCACATGACAATTTGTTTCTTAATTAAAACCAAGACAGAACACCAGGCAATTTTTTTTTTTTTTTAATGGCATCAGTCTGCAAATAAGTTGGGCTTAGCTACATGTTATTTTATTTTCAGTGCAGGAAAAAGCATAATTAGATTTTAAAATTGCACGTATGTAGTACCAAAAATGATTTTATCTTTATTTTCTTTCTAATGGCAAACAAGTTAGAGTGAAAATACAGTTGCTTAACATGGAGCATAACTAGCACTTATTACAGAGTTTTGAAATAGCTATGCTAAGCAGTAATTTGGAGTGATGAAGGCTAACTGTTTAGCAGTTTGCATCTCTGCTGTGTTTGAAGTGGTGCGCTTGAAATACAAAAGAAAAAATAGTCAAAGAGCTGTCTTTTCCAGGATAGCCGTGCTTTCTACAGTATAGGGTGTGTCAGTGTTGAATCTAGCATTTTTGCCTAGGATTAAATATAGCAGTAATAACAAGAGGTTTCCAGCCAAAGGCAAGTCCAGGGTTATCGGGAAAGCAGTGATTATTTTGTTACTTGCCTGTATTTTGCTAGTTGCCAGCTTCACTAAACCCTATGTCTCCTTCTTGATCCAGCCTTATTTACCTGCCTTCCCTCCTCCCCGCCACCGTGTCCCTTTGAACAACTCCCTAGCCTGAAAGCTTCCAGTCAGGCCGTAAATCATCCTTTTCTTTGGCTCATTCTGTTGGAACAGTAAGATAAGTTAAATAGGCAGCTCTGTGAGAAGTGGAACAAACATAGCTTGATTTCTTAATGGTTTGTCCTTTGGCAAGATTTTCTGGAATCTAACAAGATACGTGTTTTCACACAAGCTTTTACTGTTGTCAAGGCACTTCTTGGGTAGCTCCTCCATTTTTTTGGTGTTTAAACAGGTTGAGCTCCTGAGGGCAGGTGCCCTTCTGGAAGAATCATCCTTTACCTGGGCATCTGCTTTCATGAAGCTTGAAGAGCATATCTGTCTTTTGACCTATCAAAGAGTTTTGCTCTATCAAATTCAAGTGAAATTTTTTAAGAATTCAAAAGTGATTGGGTAACAAGCAGATACATGCATCGTATTCTTAGCAGCCTTTTTTCCTAAGAAACCATGCTCGAAACAGACGTGGAAGTAAAAATGGACAACCCCCATGTACTTTATCGGTACTTTTATTTCTTTTTTTTGGTATTTCAGCTTTTTTTCCTGCTTCATCCTTACTAGTAACTTCTTGAGTTAAGGTATAGTAGGGGAAAACTCCAGTTTGTATTACATGACTTGAAAGCATGGGGCTGAAAAGAAGGGAAATTTAATCAAAAAAGCCATTAAGTCAGAGGAGAAGAAAATCACTGGACAAAAGTTGTCTTAAAAAGATTGTACTTTTCCCGTATGCATGCAATGGGGAGAAAACTGGAGGACGGGTTATCTATCAGTTGGTACCCATCAAGAAACAATTGATGGTATTTGGAAAATAATAGTCAGGCACCTGCAAAGCTGAAAGTCAGCAGAGGACCATAAGCTACAAATACATCTGAAGCAGAAGGCCTCTAACAATCTGTGGATTACCGGGCTATGGCAGTTCAGGAAGACGAAGCCATTGCGGACAAGTTCGATTTTCTCTGCATTGGTCATCTGCAATTGAATGAAAATTTCAGGTCATTTCAGTTACCGGAAATAACGTTGTGAGGGACCGCAGTGGAAGTTGGGGACTGAAATGTAAGTGGTGAAGTAAATGGATAAGCTGGAGAGCAGCAAAATGCTAGGATTTCGTGTGCACCAAGAATGTTCCATCAGAAATGTGTGTGGTGTTTGATGGAATAAAGGATGGCTCCATTATGGTAGTTCATATGTTGCTTGCAGTTTTTGTGTGTTTGGACAGTAAGCTGTAGAGCAGGGTATTGATCAATGGTTTCAAATATATGCCTGTTAATAGCATGACAGGTTATAATTTCGACAAAACAATGATGTGGAAGCAAAGGGACATTTACTGCCTCTTTGCAGCTGCTTTCTGAGACACCTATGGGTGGTTTTGACAAGAATGGTCAAAACCACCCATAGGTCATCTGTTTAGTGAATCAAGAGTACATACCTATGGAGAAGTGAGATTCAGACAACCATTTTAAGCAGGGACCTGCAATGAAAAGTAGAGGTAGATATTTGTGGTCAGGACCAAATGGGAGAAAGTTACTTGGAGGTGAGCAGCTTTTGTGTCACGGACAACTGTAGGTGCTGTCTAGTCCCAGCAGAACTTTAGTGAAGTATCCAGCCTTAACCAGTGATTGATGACTGGTTTTGATCAGATTGTATGCAAGTACTTGCCAAAGGCCATTGTTACGCTAACATAGGCTGAAAGATGACGCAGCGCTGCCAAACTAGAAGAGTTACACTTGGCTTAATTTTAATACAAATTAAATGCCTGATCAGCTGTGTAAGAACTGGCCTGATAGGACTGGGATGCAATGCTGAGCTCAAGCATTGCATGACATCTGTTTACTAACAAGTATGGATTCCGTTGGTGCAAAGACTATGTTTAGGCTATTTTTTCATGCATCTGTGGCCTATAAATGTTGAAAAGGAGAGCGTAAAACAGGATATGCCTTATTTTCTGAAAGTAAGTCTTTTTCCCTTTTTAGTTATAATTTTGTTTTTGTGTGGCCATTAGAGTTTAAGATATTTGATGCTGCTAAAATATATTTCAGTATTAATTCCTTTTAGGGTGAGGGAGCCATCACAAATTTGCATTATGAAGACAGTAAATTGGTAACTACTTACAAGTGTTCAATTTCACAGTATTTTGGTCTAGTCTACAGTAAGTCCCTCTCTGTGAGGCTGGCTGCAAAAAGTAATATTAAAGTGTCAGTGTGATTGTAACTCTCTCATTTAGAAGTGGGGTGTTTTTTTTTTTTTTTTT